TTCCTTCCTTCCTTCTTTCATTCCTTAATTTTCTCTGCTTTTATTTTCATATATCCAACTGTGTGTCTGTCTTCCTCCCCCTCTGTCTATCTGTCTGTTCATGTACCAAACATAAATCTGTCCATCCATAAGACCATTTGTCCGTCCATCTGTCCGTCCATCCATCACTCCATTCTGGCTTCCATCCATCTGTCCGTCTGTCCAATGGTCCTTCTGTCTTTCAATCCATCAGCCTGTTAATTCATTCATTTATTCATTGATTCATTTGTTTATTTACAGTTGTCTGAAAATATGAGTTCCTTAGTATGGACCACGACCACAGAGCATGCCAAGACACTAGTCAATTTACCAGAAGACGCTTTCATTGATGCAGTAAACAATGGATTTGTGAGCACCAATGAATCATTGTCCTTCTTATTATGTTAATATTAGTTATTAAAAAAAAGAGTACGAACACTAAATGTGTGCAATAGTTATCGCTATTTAGTTAAATAGCACTAATTAAACAAAAGAAAACAATAGAATTAGCATAGCACTATTTAGTGATATTTATGTTGCTTGCTTTTAGTGTTTGCATTCTATTGTCATTTGTGTTTAATAATAATAAGTATATCATTAGATTAAATCTAATATTTGTTGGTTGTTATGGAGATTGTAAAATGAATGTCTTCAACCAAAATTACTGATTTTTACTAATCAAGTTTTCGGGCTGATGGCCTATCATTAGGTTTACAAATGCATAAATTGTTAACAGCAAAAAAATGTGTATGGTTTATTTATTCAATTAACTCTGTTGGAAAGCATTGTCTCGATAAAAATTTTGGTTGATGAAATGTACATTTTATAATTATTAGAATATCAAAATAAATGATTATCAATTGATTAATTACCAATAAAAATTGATTCTAATCACGCATTTTTGTACATACTAGTGGGAAGACTTGGATAGAAGTCCTTTAGTTGAAACAGCATCCAAGATTGGACAGGCCATTTCTTCGTTATTTCAGCCAGGAGGTACTGTAATAATTACAGTGGTTTATTAATGGTTTCCAAGGGATGGGGAGAGTTTGTGGAGTGCATAATGTGCTTTTAGAAAACATTTATAGCTTTTCCCAGTAGTGCACATTATTTTGTTCATATGTTTATCTGGTCTATCACATTGTCTACTTAGGAACACTGTCTGGTACCCAGATACCACCAAGTGCATCCAAACTGGTAGAGGGCAGTAGAGCAATGTTTCCATTGGGTCTTGGACATTCATCGCACTACGTCCAGCCTAGAATAGCCTTAGTTGGGTAAGCACTGTGGTAACCATAGTAACCTACACACATAGGAGGGTTAAAACATGTAACAGCTATGCATATCTTTTGTACAATGCTACATGTCCTCTTGCTTCAAAGGGCAGCTAGGATAATTACTAGTTCTGATCGCTATAGTAGCTCAATAACTATATTTAATTCTTTAAACTGGATACCATTTTTTGCTGACTCTTATATAAATCGTCTTGCATTAATTTTTAAAAGGGTAAATGGCCTTACGCCGCCATATCTTAATGAAACTCTAAGAATCAATTCCGACGTTCATAATCGTAATACTAGATTTAGTAAGCTTAATCTTAATTGCCCACTTTTCAAGAAATGACCGAAGGCGGTCGTACTTTTCTGTAAGGTCAATTCAGGATTGGAATTGTTATAATAAGAGTTTAAAGGACTCCAGTAGTTTTAAATCCTTTAAGAAGAGCCTTTTCAACAGTTTGATGAAGAAACAGAAAACAGACCTAATTTTCCATTCATAATTATTGTAATTAACTAATTAACGATTAGTATAGACCAAGTGCAAAACTCACACTGGTGTGGGGCTTGGCTTGTGGACGGAGGGTTCCGGCGCTAAAGTCACAGATCGCGCCGGATCGCTTTGTTCACAGGTTGAGCCTTGTGTTGGTGTGGGTTTTGCATTTTATTAGGTTTCAATTTTATTAGGTTTCAATTTTTAAGATTTAGATTCTATTACCATTTTAGAATACTTTTATATATATATATATNTGTCTGTTTGTGTGTGTGTCTGTCAGTAACATGGTTGCTTCTGTCTGTCTTTCTGTCTGTCAACAGCATGGTACTTGTGTCTGTCTGTCAGTAACCTGGTTGCTTTTGTCTGTTTGTCCGTCAGTCACATAGAAGCATCTCTGTAGGTCCATTAAATTATCATTTATATTGTACTGTTTGTTTGTATCCTTTAGGTTACACGTACAAGAAGGCAGTAGGAATGGGATTCATGCGTCTATTTGACTACATCGAAGGTGCTAATAACAAATCGGTCAAGATCCCCATGACAGCACCAGTACTTAATCAAATCCAACCCGCTCAAGGTCCCTACTGCAAGAACAACTTCACCGTCAACTTCTTCGTACCTTTTAATCTCCAAGCTAATCCTATTCCTCCAACATCCAAAGACGTGTTCATATCTAGCATGCCTGCTATGTGTGCTTATGTCAAGACTTATTCTGGCTTTGGATCCAATACTGATGACATCCTAAAGAATGCGGCAGCTCTCGCCGAGGCACTGTCCAAGGATCGTCTGGGAGATACGTACCACAAGGAGTATTACTATTATGCTGGATATGATAGCCCTTTTAAGCTCTTTGACCGCACCAATGATGTTTGGTTTGTCAAGAAATAGACATTCTTAGTTAATAAAGTTTTTTTTTGTAATATTAAAGAGTATTTTTTAGAAGACGAGAATCATATACCTTATCCAAAATTAAATAATGTGATATATTGTACACCTTGTAGACAGTTGTCTTTATAAGAAGTTCACAAAATAAAACCAAAATATACCAATATCTCTTGTGTCAACTTTATTTCGTGTTTTCCAAAACCTTCATATTTTATTGATGCCCTTGAACAACCTTTGGGCTGATCAACGAAAACGGTGGCCCAAAATCGAGAATTGATGCGTGTTCATTTATTTACTCTAYCCAAAGCTCAACATGTAGCCACTTTTTCGAGATATATTAAAGAATCTAAAGGACTCCACAGGGGCGGCGGAAACTGAAAATCTTATGGGGGGGCATTGAAATATTATATTCAACGCTATGTGATAATGATCGCTGTTTTGTTTGATTACAGACGCATGCGCCGTACAACTATGACTGAGAACCAATATATTGTGGGGGGGGGGGGCAAAAAAATTCTTGGGGGAGGCTCCGCCGCCCCTGCTCCATCAAAAAAAGTCATGAGTGGAAATACTTGAAATAGTTATTTGGACCTCTTTAGAGAAGTTGGCGGCTTAATTTTTGGGGCGCTAACTTAATCAGCCATCTACCTATACAAAAACTATACCTAAGGGAATGACAAATGGTACGGAGAATTTATTTTTTTCAAAGTAGAGAGGACTATAGTCTTACAATATATAACTTTCGTCCAACATTCAAATGGGAGCTACTAAATGACGTCGACTTCCCTTCTTATTTCACGTGCAATGTTGTAACTCTGGGTTCCCTGTGATATCTTGTGCCGAGAGGGAGTGGATTCCAATGAAAACAAGATGGCGAACGAAGGTCCACGAAAAGTGAAAAGTGAGTAAAAACGTTCGATAATTTCTTCTTTTCTTTATTTATTTTCTTATAAGCCTTTCATTACCTAAAAATACTCAAATAACCTATATTTCAACAGAGAAATCATCGTCTGGTTGTAAACCTGTCGACAAAGATACCGCAGCAAAAAGGTAATGTGAGAAGCAATTTTGTTTTTTGGTCAATCTTATGAAGTTTAAAAACGAGMATGATTCCTTGTTTTGCTTGCATAGGAAACAACTAGAAGCTTCCATTCGTGCACAAGTCGCTGCAGAAGAGAAAGCTTATCGCATTGTAGAGCAGTTGGTTCTCGAAAACTCCATAAGCGATGATTATTTGCTTGAAATCGTGAGTAATGTTAGCAAGTTGATATTTTGCAGTGCACYTAACATTATAAAGCTTATGCCCAAGAAAAAAAATTTTTTTCACGAAAAAAATAAAGTTGAGGGTTTCTAACGAAAAAGATTGAGGATTTTTCCCTTTCCTGACATGGTATTACAGTTGAATTTTGTATGTGGTTGTTTGTTAGGGAAATTACATCACACCAAGTCACTACTCTGATATTATTGAAGAAAGAGGTATAGCGAAGGTCTGTGGGTATCCATTGTGTTCTAATGCACTAACACAGGTTAGTACGTTACACAAGAAATGATAATTAAAAACTGAGTTTATTCATATTATATTGGCCTTCTCCATTCTTCCTTTGCTCACTTTACCAGTACACCATCCCTCCATCCATCCATCCATCCATCCCTCCATCCATCCCTCCATCCATCCATTTATCCATTTATCCATTTCATGCATCAATCTTATTTAATTTTATCCCATCTCATTTCATCAATCATATCTTTCAGTTCATCCATCCCTCCATCAAACCAACCATCTAGATAACCATCTAGATATATCCATACACATTACTTGTCTAATTATTTTAATTTTCTACCAAATTACATTATAGGCAATGTTGCGCATCTACAAGAGTACGAGACAGAACGGCAGAGGGCTGTTGTACCTATGATCGTTGCAACAGACCTGTTGAATAGGCTGTTTTCAACCTCCAGCATTCTACCTGTTGCCGCAAGGACTGCAGGTCTTCTGGCAACTAATGCATTAATGCCACTAAAGGTAATTGACAATATAGTCTCGTATAGACTCCTTGCATGTGACCTTAAAGCAGCCCAATTTGGAGGACAAAACAAAAGAAATTTCAACCTCAGCAGACTTGAGCTGCATTCTAATGTACTGCAAGGAGTCTATACAGCTGATATTAGTGTCATCATGTAGGATGACAACACTAACAGCAACTACTTAGGCAACAACTTTTCAAGTCAGTTCCTTTCAAAAGGTGTAGTTTGACGATGCTGTCAGTATAATAGTATAGATCATGCTCAATGAATCAGCACAGAGAAGTAGGTTTTGGTGGACATCAATAATTGAGGTGTTTCCATGACATTGCTTAAGCATGTGCCCTTCAAAACTTTGTTTTCCAAGTGTCAGAAACAATATTTGATTGACACCCACCAAAACCCACGCTCTGTTTCACAACAGCAAATCGTATTATTCTTTGCATCCTATTGAGAGCTCTAGGTCGTAGGTGTGTCTGGGGGTACTACCACCCCAACTTGGGTATGGGTGTGCCGCCAGGACCTCAAAAGCCTGACCCTATCACAGACCTAAAATTTTGATTTTACATACCCTACCCCAGACTAAAACTAAGAATTGTACACCCTATCCCAGACTAAAAGACGGAAAAGACGGTTTTTCAATAGATTGCAATCAATATTTACTAACGTTAATGTATGAACAAATAAAGTCCAACCTTAACTTGGATCCATTGTTTTGTGTTGAATTTTGACTCTTTCGTTTTCTCTTTTTTTAGGAGCAGATCATATCATTTGCAAGAAACTAATCCAACCATGCAGTTCTTAAAAGTCACATAATTATCATTAGCAATCCCCCCAGTATTCATACTACTTTTCCCAGTAGACGGAGGTAGTTGTGATTTTTTAATCGCCTTCGTAGCATCTGTTATGTTATCCGCAAGTACATTTCAAATCGACCACGTGATGCCAATGCTGTACCACGAGGACAAGTTTTTTACACCACGTGATTAAAACTTGACTGAATTTTGGAGGGAGTCATGAGGAAAACAGATTTTAAAGCTGCTGTTAAATCAACTGTTTTGAAATGGATGAAAATATTTGTTAAGCACTTTAACAACTCAGATATGAGAAAAAACTTTATTATAAAATAGCCATAAAGAGGTGGATTGTTTTTTGACCATGGTTCCTTCTACCTAAAACAAAAACTTTAAATCTTAGGGATATGTCCTGAAACACTCTCTGGGCTGCTCAAAGTCAGGGCACAGCTAGTTAATGGATTAAATTGGAATTTAGCTTGTTAGGTTTTAAACAGGGAATCAAAATATGGCAACCAATTTGAATAACTGTTCTGGACTGACTGGCTTCTTCATGTTCATGTGGAAATACAAAAGCATTTTCACATGTAAGAGAGGCTAGTCAGTACGGAACAATAGTGGTATTCAAATTGGTCACCATATTTTGATTTGGTAAAGCTGCTAATACACACTGCAATTTTGTTTTGCACTGACAACACAATTTCACATTTTTGTTGCAGCTAAAAATTGCAACAAAATGAGTATTAAATCCTGATTGGCTAGTCTGAATAGGATTATTGCATTGCGAGTAAACATGGGTGATAGACGCTGCAATTTTCGCTATTTTTAGGCATGCAGTTCCTAAAATGTTGCAGAGAAAAGTTCAAACTTTTTGATTCGATTTTTGCGTTGCGAGACATYGTTGCTGTCAAAGTCGCAGTGCATGATACACGCTGAAATTGTATCTCGTGCTGGCAATGCAACGAAAGAATTGAGATTGCATTGCCAGTGCAAGAAAAAATTGCAGAGTGTATTGGCAGCTTGAACTGAGGAAGGAATACTGGAGAAATCAAGGGAGAGACCTATCGCATTGTGAAACTGAGTCAAGGAATCAAACGCAAGACCCTAGAGGTGAGAGAAAAGTGCATTTCACTTGACCACCCTTAATTCAGCAAGCAGCAGGGATTACCCTTTCCATTAGAATCCAGTAAGTAATCACTCAATATTTAATTTAAAAATGTTTATTTGGAGTACTAGCACATCTGTGCTTAATGTACAATGTTATCTTAGATTGTAGACCTCATGAATATTGTTCAATAATTATTGTCTCAACTAGCCAACATCAAAATCAAGGAACATCCCACAGATTTTGAATATTGCTTTCTTCTTTTGAATCGACCGTCCCTCAATATTAAAATTAGATCACTTTTGAATGGCAATATAAGTAGATTTTATGAGGTTTAGGATTTTTCTGTCCTTTTCTTCATTACTAGTCTTGATCTTCAAGATCAGAGCTTGAGATTTCATCTCCATTTCTATCAGATTTTTATAATTCCAATCATTCTGATAAATGATCAACAAGTGGGGGGAACATTTTTTTTCCCATCTTGTCTTCACGACTCCTTCATGATCCAAGATCAAACTCTTATTTTGTGCCTAGAATATTTTTTTTACTAAATAGAATCAGATCCCAAAGTAAATGAAACATTTTGGAACCACGAATACAGCATTAAAGCCCACAAATGAGTAAGTAACAAAACGGTGGACCAGTTCTATGAATTCTTCATCACTCATTGAGTCTGTTGAGTTTTTTGGCAAAACCCTTGGTAGAACTTTGTGTATTAAGGCCTTCATGAAGCTGCGCGATGGAGCTAATACAAGAATTCCAAGAATAAATCTGCAAATCATGGTCATTATCCTGTCTGGTCCTGGAAAGATGATTGCAAAAGGTGTGCCAATGTAGGGGTCTGGGACTTTAGTGGGTGCGAATCTTGCCCATGAGGCAAGAAGTACTCCAACACAAGTTCCAATGACCATGGTGGTGTCAGCACGGGTTTCTGTTTGCAAGGGTGGTGTTGGGTAAACCACACACATTGCAAGTGGTATCGCAACCATGAATATGGGTGAGCTCGGTGCAGTTAGTACCCATGTCTCTGTTGGTAAGTCAAGCACTGGAATGACGATTATCAGCAATATGGCCGTCAGGCACAGGCCAGCAATTATATCCTAAAGAGAAAGATTAAAAAGCTTTAGATTTGAGTAACTAAAGCAAGGCAAAATGAAAGCATTTATTTGCCTTTATTATTTCATCATTGATCATCATCATCATTATTACTTCTATTTTCATAAACATGTGTACTCGCTAGCTGCGATCTGAAATTTTGTTTTTTGCTGATATTAATCGGAACTAATAAGTCGGCAACTTTCATATCTTTGACTAGTGGCATCGAAAAAACAAATTTCAGAGTGCAGCTCATTAACAAAGTTCGCATGTTTAAGAAAATAGCAGTAATTGATATCATCAATCAACATCAACATCGTTACTGTCAGTAACCATTTTCACTCCAATAATCATCATCACCTTTCATCACGATGACCACCATCAAAAATATATATCATCACCACAACCATTATCATTGTCATCACCATCATTCTCACTATGGCCTCAATTCATCATAAATTTTTCACATGTAGGTCAATTCCAGGCTTTTTGGCAGATTCTATTGCAGCGTAAAGGCCAGGGTTTTTATATCTTTTT